GCATAGAGGAGAAACAATAATGTACAGTATGTGGAAAATAATGTTTTTTGAATCTTAAACCGCATAAACACATTTCATTTCACCAAATACACAAAATAATGTTCTTTTTAGCAACATCATAAGACCCCTTTAATATTTTTAGTATAGTCTTAACTATATTTACAATTTCGCACTACTACTCATATTGTGTAAATGTGAAAGAAGTGCTAAACACTTAATGAAATTGAAAAAGTGAAAATGACGTGACGTGTAGCGTAGCCAAGTATGGTGTTCCATACTTGGAATTTGTGCTCTGCATTTAACCCATCCAAGTGCACACACACAGCAGTGAGTAGCGAACACACACACCGACCGTGAACACGCATCCGGAGCAGTGGGCAGCCATTTTTGTTACGGCATGTTTGGTGCCTTTGCAGCAGTTGGGGGTTTGGTGGTCTCACCTCAGTCATGGTATTGAAGGTGAAAAAAGATCATTATAGAAGAAAGATCATTTTTGTTTAAGATACTTTCTGAAACATTTTAACATCACACCTCAGCTAAAACTGATTGAAATGTAATGATAATAATAATGATAATAATTTCATTTCATTAAAAAATATATATATATATTTTATTTGGAGATGTATGAAAGTCTTGCTGAGCCATCTCTCTTACCTTTTTTTTCTGTCTCTCATAGGTCGCTCAGATAGTAATAGGATTGCTGATCATCTCCTATTCTATACCTCTGCTGTCCACTGAGATCACAATGATACTTAACTTTGGTGTGCCATGGTGGAGTGGCCTTATGGTAATATTACACTAATACGTTAGGACATGGTGGTTATATAACAGTTTAAGGTGATAGCAAAGTATTTAAAGTAATGTACAGTAAATTGTGTATCTGCCAATGATGGACCTATCACTGAACTTCATTTTTTGTTTCCTTTTTTCCAAACAGTTTGTAATTTCAGGTGCAGCTGGAATAGCAGTGGAAAAATATGCCACCTTGAAAGCAGTGAGTTTGAACTTACAACAAGACAGACAAACTGTTAGAGCACATTTTAGAGATTGGTATATGCCGTTCCTGTAAAGGCTACACATCAGCAGGCACATTCTGTATAACAGAAAATCTAAATTAATAATTAAAAAGACAAAAAATTATGGAATTTGCACTTGTCTTTAGGTCTCTGTTTGTTTGGCAGTCTCTGCTGTGGCCATTATCATCTAAGTTATTGCACTTATCATGTACTATGCTGACATTGCTTTTAATCCGGCAACCGAATGCCATATGGGATCACGCCAGATGTGTGACCACCAGTATTATGCCACTGTATGTATCTCATACCCTCATATATGAGAGTTTTATCGTATTAAACAGTTGCATTTTTTAGTAAGGACTCTTTCTTTAAATCAGCATTTCAGCACGGGATTGAAGACAACCATCTCCGTGGTCAGTATGGTCCAGACAGCAATTTCCTCTGCTTTTACAGTTAAACTGTATAATCAGAGAAGGAACTTTACAGGCTATGCGGTAAATATTTAATTAGAAAAATATTTTTTTATATAGGTATATATTGTATTATATATGTTTGTGTGTGTGTGTGTGTGTGTGTTATTTATTTTGAATGGCCTAATTCATAATTAATTATTAAATTCAAGGTATGCTTCTAATAAACCATGTGGATTTCTCTCTTTCTCTCTCAGACCATGACTGAATGACATCCTGCTTAATCCCATGTATGACATTTCTGGATTTAAATTAGAGGTCCTTAAACTATCCACTTCATATAGCCTATACATGTGGTTTTTCTTGTACATATGCATTTAAGTGTTGTTGTATTTTTGCTCAAATCTAAAGTGAATTGTATTCTTTTATATAAAAAATCTAAATAAACATATAAAGATTGTTTTTTATTAAAGTTACAATTAAAGATGGCTTTTTGGTGTGTGTGTGTGTGTGTGTGTGTGTGTGTGTGTTTTTACAACTTGTTGAAACAGCACCACAATATGATGTTCACATCATTTTAGCTCTACTTCTTCTTCTTCGGTTTTATGGCGGGTAGCACCAATGTTAAGGTGCATTATCGCCACCTACTGTATTGTGAACCAGAGTTTACCCATTCACAATAAGAGGACAAGAAAAAAACAGTAAAAGAAAGAAAAGCATTCTTTACCTCAATAAGAATTTTCACTCTAAATTCTCTTAATCTAGTCCATAAGAAAATATATTTTTAAGCTTTAGGTTACCCACTCCCATCTTTCTAAGTTCATTCTTCATTGTTTCTCGATCATTAGTATACTTTTGACAAACACAAATAAGATGTTCTACTGATTCCTCCATTCCACAGTGCTCACATAATCCTGTTGGATGTTTATTTATTATTTTTTAAGTTTTAATTCAGCATAGTATGCCAAACCCTAGGTTACCCACTCCCATCTTTCTAAGTTCATTCTTCATTGTTTCTCGATCATTAGTATACTTTTGACAAACACAAATAAGATGTTCTACTGATTCCTCCATTCCACAGTGCTCACATAATCCTGTTGGATGTTTATTTATTATTTTTAAGGTTTTATTCAGAGTAGGCCTAGTATGCCCAACCCTTAATCTTGTTAGAATATTTTTTGGTGCTTCTTTTAGTTATTCTCACGACTCCTACTTCTCGCTGTATTTCATAAAGTTGACGTCCTGTATCCCATTTATGTTGCCACTCCTTAGTGGTATATGCTTTAATTACTGCTTTTGCTTCATATTTACTAAGTGAGATATTCATGATATCCTCATTTTAGCTCTACTTCGTTTGTTACTAGATGAAAAAAAAATTGTTTGTCACATGACACGAGCTAGCGGTTTACTTTATTTAAAAAAATTATACATTTTACAATGTAAATGTTTATCTCATAAATATTAATAACGTTATGTGATATTCGCATTTATGGACTGATTTTTATGATGGCGAAATACCAAAGTCTACTGTAAAAGAGCTTAGCCCACGAAATAGTAGTCAAAGCAAAAAAAATAAATAAATGGGAAGCTCAGAACACCAAGCAACAAACAAACTAACGTCATGTATTAAATATCCATGAGCTACGCCGTCAAAGGGTCCGCAGTAGGGATGGGCGATACCACTTATTTTGTTTTCGATACGATACCGATATTTTTCAAGGCAGTATCGTCTACCGATTCGATACTTCTGAACTAAACTTTTAAATTCTGAAATGTATTAAATTATTAAATTACTAAGAGTAAAATGGGTAATGATAAGCACTTAATTTTATGTTTAAAACGCATTTTAACATTCAATACGCCTTAATTGTAACTTATTAGGTTATATTTCTGTTTACGCATGGTTCAAATATGTTTTTTGTTTACACATGATTCAAATCTACAAATACTACCGTTGAACTATGGTCACTTTAGTAAAACCATGGTTCATTTTCATAAGGGACTGCCAGTGACCGGCTGTTACATGCATAAAATGCAACATTTTTAATCTTATTTAATGCATATTGTACGGTTTTTTTTTTTTAAGTTAACAAAATCACTGGTAAATAAAACGCACCTTAGTATCGATATTTTTGTTTGAGTATCGATACTTTGGATCGATACGCCCATCCCTGATCCGCGTGTTGTTTGCTAATAAAACAGTCCTCCCTACAGCAGATTCAGAAGCGATTTAATCCAGTTTCTACTAGATTTAAGGTTTGTTTCTAGTCGCAGGGCAAGTGATTATACTTTGTTATAAAGCTGAGGGAAAAATTAAAACAACGTTACACAACCCTCACAACTTAGCGTCCTTTTGCGTTGTTGTGCTGTTAGGTGAGAATCATAAATAATGCCATCACGTGATTTTTTTTGTCAATCAAATCTTATAATAGTGTAATGAATCGGAGCCCATTTACGTGTGCTTGTTTTGGTCATAGGCTCTTATTAGTGTACTAAAAAGATCTGAACAAAACGTGTTTTTTCAAAGGTAAAAATATGGGGTTTATTTGACCTTGACACAGCATATCTAGCCCCTTGCTTGTTTTTCTACAAAGACTATACAATAAATCTTTGTATATATTGAACTTGGTTCCTGTGTGCATCACAACATTTCTAGAACTTTTCATTTTAAAACTAACAAATCACCTTTCTTTATGTCCCTCTCATAGTTTCTGTGATGCAGAGACCAGCTGTGGTGAATGACAGCTTCAAGCCCATCATCATTAACACAATGGTGGTCCGAGACAAAGAGTTCCTGCATAGACTGGGCAAAGTGCTGAAACTTACGTGGCTACTTGGCAAAGAAGTCCAGGTGTCACAGGTCCCACTTGGCTGCTCCGAGTGGGTCTCGAACCCGGGTCTCCGGCACTCAGAAATGAGTGAGCATTTTAGCACTTAGAGTTCCATTGTCCTGTATTCAACAGGATTTTTAACAGGTTTCACGTTGTATTTTACAACATAAAATACATCAGTAATACCCTCTTGTGTTTTTATTTATTTATTTTTTTAAAAGCTTTTACTAGAAAAAAAGTGCTTACAAGTGGACTAAATGGCTAAACGGTACCTACTGCAGAGTTTGTTGGGGCCATTAAACATTATCATGCTAAACAGGTAAAACTCATCCACGCACTAGTTCACTTTTACAGCCTCGTCACACTCTTGCAAACTATTCTGACTCAAACTTTCAACTTTTTTTTTTTTTTTTAAATAAAGACCAAAAGAGTTGTCAGAATCATAAACTTTTGTTGGCCACATTTCTTATTTTCTGCAATAATCCAAAAGCAAGATCCCATTGTTGAGGGAACCAGCATGAGGCCAACATCAGGGTTGGCCTGCCAAAATGTCATCGCTGCACTCTTTTTTGAGTGCAGTGACAGCTGCCCATTTAGCCTGTATATCATCTCAGGCTGAATTCTAGCTCAATTTAATTCAAACTAACAATAGGGGGCAGTAAACATGTTAGTGTAACTGTTCCCAGCACATGTTTCTTTTAGGCGTTGTCATGCTGTCAAACTCCTGCACATGAAATAAGTCACTTTTAGTCTGCACCCTGTGAGAATTGCCACGGAAATGATCCAGTAAGTATTAAACATGTAATATCTCAAAATAATGCTCGAAATGAGACAGTGATCAAGGCTCTTTTTGACCCTCTTTTCACAGTGTGTTGCCCCACTAAACAGGCTTATCTGCTTTATAAGGCAAATCATGCACAAAGATAAAGTAGTCTTTTTTCAGTATCCTTATTAATTATTCTGTATTTGTGACTTTCTTTCTCACTCTGCTATTGTTCTGTATTTGTATGAGGAAAATGAACACAACTAATAAATAATATTAAAGTAATAATAATATTAATACATTTATACTACTAAATGTATGTCATGCTGTTGACTTATAGTGCACACAATAGTCTCTGCTTTGTTTAAATATATATATATACATAATAAAGGTAGGACACAAATGTATACGTCTTATTTTCTGGAATTTTCAAACGTTTACAAAATGGTCTTTCACAATTTTCATATGGGATCAATTTGTGTGGCGTTTCTTCTGGATAATTGTGTGGCGCAGTCTCAGTCATCAGTAGGCGGCAGGGATGCTCCTTCGAGGGAGGAAAGAGGAAGCAGGCATTGTTCCGGGAAAAGAAATGGATTAGTTTCGTAAACAATCCGGTTTATTAGTGAAGGATAGAGCTGGCATCCTTTGTATGGAGTTTATTTAGTGTCTTTTTTATTCAATCAAACATACTGTGTTTGAGAGCAAAACTAATTATTTTGTCATTAAAAAATAAAAGTTTGCAAAAAAAATTATTCTTAAGGCTCAAAAATAACAGGTTTGTTTTGTACTATCTTTAAGACCTGTGCACTGACAATTGCAAAACTTTAATACTTCAATAGTATTAGTTACTTCAATGGTAACGAATGAAAATCAGGACTTGTCCGCCAGTACCACTGTAGCCTGGCAGAGACTTTGCTTTGAAGACCTTTTAATTAACTAACTTCCACATTTCAATATGCCCCTGACTTCTAAGGGGTGTTTTTATTTGTGACTACTCCTAACAGCCTAGAATTCTATCAGTAGAACATTACATTTTTCTTTATGGTAACGAATGAAAATCAGGACTTGTCTGCCAGTACCACTGTAGCCTGGCAGAGACTTTGCTTTGAAGACCTTTTAATTAACTAACTTCCACATTTCAATATGCCCCTGACTTCTAAGGGGTGTTTTTATTTGTGACTACTCCTAACAGCCTAGAATTCTATCAGTAGAACATTACATTTTTCTTTTCTGTTTGCAGGAAGAAGATTTGGTGTTGATGGAGGAGGCAACATCTTCAAGGCAAAACCTTAGACCTCATTCAACATCATCCAATGTTGCAATCACCCTCAGGAGGTACACAAGCAAAAGCTAAAGCGAACATTGTCAATTATCGATTCCTGTTTTACTAAATTTGCCCTGCATACATTTTTGTCTTTAATGTGAAGGCACTTGAAGCCCAGTGCCTGTTATGCACAGGAACATTTCAGATAAATGCTGTTCATTTTAACGTTCTATTCATTAAAGAATCCTGAAAAACATTTTTTTACACAACTGTTTTCAATACTGATAATGATAATGTATGTATAATAAAAAATAAGCATATTGCTACATTGTGACACTTAAGACTGGAGTAATGATGCTGAAAATGTTGCTTTATTTATATATTTAAATATATAAACACAATTTTATTTATTTATTTTTACAGTGAGGAGGATGTGATTGGTCATGCAGCAGCACAGATAAACACCACAAAGACATCTGAAATCTGTCACGAGATAACACGTCTGAAGTTGTAGAAACGTCAAAAACAGGAAGCCCCATCTGTCCCTTGAAAATCACCTTCCTTTGAGAGCCTGTAAAAATAAAATTATTTGTATATAAAGCTAAAAACAATAAAGCAAAATGTTCTTTATTTTTTAGGTGTTGTTTGTTTTGTTTTTTAATGTGAGTCACTATTACCATTACCTTTCTCCAAAATGAAGCTTGAGTCGTTTTGGTTTAGCTTTGTCGTGGCCACGAGATATTAATTGTAAACAAAGAATGCTTCTGTGCGCTGGCGTCCTCCCACAGGTTAAGAGATTAAACAAATACATTTAGTTAACCAAATGAAACAATACACATTTTAATGCTATAAAAGTGAGAGAAGTAAACAGCAGATGTTCATGTTAACAACTTCTTTAACTTGAGCAAACACTGCTAATACTCGTATACATTTGTTAATAAAGTTAATCAAACGAAAACATGCATGTTTTAATGCTAGAGAATAAAAGGAAACGATCCACACGCATGCCTCTGCTCAAGGATGGTGCCTAGGGATGGGCGATACTCAAACAAAAACTATCGATACTATGGTGCATTTTATTTACCAGTGGTTTTGTTTAACAAAAATAATAATAATGCGTACAATATGCATTGAATTGGACAAATAACCTTTGTTAGCGAGTAATTGTGTAGGATAGAACTATTTTCCTGCTCATCTGAACACACGCAAATGTTGCAAGACAGAACTAATCAATCACATGACCATAAAAGAAAAATTTTCACTCACTTTTCCCCCAAATTTTTTTTTTTAAATGATTGATTATTTCAAAGGGGTACATCATTTGGATATTTTCATGTCTGGGAAAAATTTGGAATTAAATGGGTTAAAATGCGTTTTAAACAAAGTTAAGTGGTTTTCATTACCCATTTTACTCTTAGTAATTTAATAATTTCATAAATTTCATAATTTAAAAGTTTAGTGCAGAAGTATCGAATCGGTATCGATATCGACGATACTGCCTTGAAAAATATCGGTATCGTATCGAAAACAAAATAAGGGGTATCGCCCATCCCTAATGGTGCCTGAATCAGTGAGCTGCGTCTCGGGCTGATGACGTCACTTCCAGGGAGGCATGCCCAGGCCGGTTGTACACGCCCCCGTCCCTTGACTCCACCCCCATGTCAAAACCGTGCCAGAAAGCGAGACGCGCAGAAACGTGAAGCGCAAAGGGGAAAAACAGTATCGCAAGCTCAAACTTGACTGAAACGCAAAATAAAAGCAGCGTTGCAAATAAATGAGTAGATATGGCCATGGAAAATATGTATTGCAAAATCATTGCTTTTGTGCCGTTTCAATGATATTTTGCAATTCTTTATTTTTGTTTACAAAACTTTATTATTTTGCATATATATGTGGCATTATATTGACTCCATACTAAAACTTTCAGATGACACACAGCTCATTTCTCAGTCACTGTAAGTTACTGAAACCACACATGAAAACACGAAACACATGGTAGGCACACGTTTTTGAAGCAGAGCGGCTCTCTCTCGCACTGTATGACGTGACAGACAACTAGTTGTCCAGTCCTGTTCCGTTCACACAGCATGTGTTTGCGGTTGTGAGTCCTGAAAATTTACGGGTGCGAGTTTGGTTACAGAATGAGGTTGTCACGCCCATAAATAACCGTACTGTGTGTGAACATAACTGTATTAAGGACTCAAACACAGGACTGACAACCGTATTCTGCTGCTGTGTGAATGTGGCCTACCATTGTTTGAAGCAACTGAACGCAAAATAAAAGCAGCGTTGCAAATAAATGAGTAGATATGGCCATGGAAAATGTGTATAGCAAAATCATTGCTTTTGTGCTGTTTGATTTATATTTTACAATTCTTTATTTTTGTTTGCAAAAAACACATTTATTTTTTCTCAATACTTTTATTTTCGTTTGCAAAACTTTATTATTTTGCATATATGTGGCATTTATATTGACTCCATAGGTTCACTTACGTCGGTACTCGTGCTGGGGTTGTGGATGCCGATTTTGGAAAGTTTTTGCTGGGAAGGGCATGTTAAAAAAATCTGAAATTTGCTTTTGCGCCATTATCTCCTTGTATTAAAGTTAAACTTGTTCGCATTCTGTACAGTTCATGTCTGATACCAGGCGCCAGCTTCATGTGTTCATGAGGATTAGGCTAATCATCCCATATAGAAAACATCACAAGTAAAATTAATCATGTTTATAAAGATAAACATGGGTTTATTATAGCCCACTTACAATTTACATTTCAGATTCTCAATACTTTTATTTTCGTTTGCAAAACTTTATTATTTTGCATATATGTGGCATTTATATTGACTCCATAGGTTCACTTACGTCGGTACTCGTGCTGGGGTTGTGGATGCCGATTTTGGAAAGTTTTTGCTGGGAAGAAAATTTTTTTGCATGTTAAAAAAATCTGAAATTTGCTTTTGCGCCATTATCTCCTTGTATTAAAGTTAAACTTGTTCGCATTCTGTACAGTTCATGTCTGATACCAGGCGCCAGCTTCATGTGTTCATGAGGATTATACGGTGGCCGAGAGAGCTCAACGCGCTGCAATTTAAGAAAACACATGCAAATTGAAAAAATAAATGAACAAACTTTGCGTTGCATTTGCAACCATGTGAAAACAGGGGGTTCTGTAGCCCCCTCAGCACCCCTACTTCCCGCGTACCTGTGTTCACCCCTCCCTCCATTTCTCAGTATGTATCTGGAGCAAGAGATCAGTCTTTCTCTCTGTCCTCCTCTGAAAGGGCCTTTACCTACAGCTACACCAATCCCACCAGCCCCACAGCCTAGAGAGCTGCTCTCCATTGAGGAAGAGAGTGAGAGACTGGCCAGAGAACTCAGAGAGGTAAGAGGAGGAAAAAGTAGGCTGAGTGAATATCTGGTGTTCCAAAAAGCAAAATTTTTAGCATCATTACTCCACTCACACGATCCTTCAGAAATCATTCTGATATTCTGATTTGCTGCTCAAAAAACATTTATTATTATGATGATGTTGAAAACAGCTGAGTAGAATTTTTTTGATGAATAGAAAGTTCAGAAAAACAGCATTTATCTGAAATAGAAATATTTTGTAACATTATAAATGTCTTTATCATCACTTTTGATCAATTTAAAGCATCCTTGCTAAATAAGTGTTAATTTCTATAATTTCTTCTCCAAAACAATACAAATTATACTGACTCTAAGCTTTTGAATGGTATAGTGTATAATGTTACAAAAGCTTTTTATTTCACATAAATGCTGATCTATTCATCAAAGAATCCTGAAAACATTTACTCAACTGTTTTAAATATTGATAATAATAATAAAAAAGGTTTCTTGAGCAGCAAATCAGCATATTAGAATGATTTCTGAAGGATGTGACACTGAAGACTTGAGTAATGATGCTGAAAATTCAGCTTTGATCACAGCAATCATTTAAAAATATATTCAAATAGAAAGCAGTTATTTTAAATAGTAAAAATATTTCACAACATTACTGCTTTTGCTGTACTTTGAATCAAATAAATGCAGGCTTGGTGAGCAGAAAAGACTTCTTTATAAAACATTAAAAAACCTTACTGTTCAAAAACTGTTGACTGGTAGGTTATATAAATTACAGAAATGTTATATTGTAATGCTATATATACAGTATATAAACATTTTTGTCCCCCTCACTTCTGAAATGATGGCTACGCCCCTGGTGTGCATCACAACATATCTAGAACTTTTCATTTAAATCTAACAAATCACCTTTCTTTATGTCCCTCTCATAGTTTCTGTGATGCAGAGACCAGCTGTGGTGAATGACAGCTTCAAGCCCATCATCATTAACACAGTGGTGGTCCGAGACAAAGAGTTCCTGCATAAACTGGGCAAAGTGCTGAAACTTAAGTGGCTACTTGGCAAAGAAGTCCAGGTGTCACAGGTCCCACTCGGCTGCTCCGAACCCAGGTCTCTGGCACTCAGAAATGAGTGAGCATTTTAGCACTTAAGAGTTTTCCATTGTCCTGTAGTCAACAGGATTTTTAAAAGGTTCTTCTTCTTCTTTCTTTGTTCTTTTGTTATATATACATATATATATATATATATATATATATATATATATATA